ACTAATTTCTGTTTTGACAAATACGATTTGACATAAGAACAGTGGGAGTCAAGACCTTTCATTTTTGATCCTGGTTCACATCGCGCTGATCTAAATTCCTCCCCCTTCTGCCGTTGCTTTTCAGTTGTAAACTCTGTTATTAAAGTTAGCAAAGAGCTGTTTGAAACCCCCTCTTCTGAAGCATTTAAACAGTCCTGCTGTACACAAGATTAATTCTGATATCTTCCTAATGGCTTGTGCTGCTCGTTTGAGGCGTCGGCACAATGCGGCTCTGTGCGGATTTTGAAATGGCTTTGTTGGAAATGAAGGATTTGGTTTCTGTTCACTGAGTTGACTTCATAAAGGTTTCTTTGCCAAATGGCAGTTGCAGGCCCCCTGGGGCTGAGGGCATTAGGGATGAGATTCCCCAAGCTCTCCTCCTGCTGCAGGGCTCTGGCAGCTCAGGGTGGGCTTCCCTCCATCCCTGGGGCAGACACAGGGGAACGTGGCTCCAAACAGGGGGAAACAGCACAAGGAATTTTCTTCTGAAAGGCTGGAATTGGGTGACCTTTAAGGCCCTTTTTCCAACCCAAACCAGCCTGTGAAAGGATAATTTTATTGGAGCTAAACCCTGACATCAGGGAGAGCTGGGAAGCTGGTGGAGATCCTGGTGAGGATGCTCCCATCTCCTGCTGCTCCAGAATCCTTGCACCCTGTTCCCCTTTCCAAAGAACTCCTCCTCATTCCTTGGATCCCAAAGCAAAGCTGGTGGGACAGGAGAGTCCAGCCTGTGGTTTTTGGGGGTCCTCATTCCCCGTGGCTCCCCAGGCACGGAGGGTGTGATGGATTCAGCTTTGGAAGGATCTCTCCTTCCTGAGGAAAAGGCTATTTCAGACCCCACTCAGAGCTACTTGGCTGCTGAAGCATCACTTTTGTGGCTTTTTTTAAGGCTCTCAAGGGACAGACTTGCAGCTGGGAGCCCTTCAAGTCTCCTCTCTGGCCTGTGATGCTCCACATGGGCTATTTTGGGAAGAGGGGAGCGAGGGAAGGCAGCCTCTCTTTGGAAAATCAGATATTTGCTAAGCTCTGGGTGCTGGGTAAGTGCTGGCCTTAGGCCACTTGTTCAGGCAGGTGCAGGTGAGTCTGGACTTGGACACATAGATCCTCACCCCAAGGATTTTCATCTGGGGCAGAATTTCTTCCTAGAGCCTGAGTCATCTCCCACCAAAAATTTAAAAAAGAAAAATAAAAAATTAAGAAAAGAAGAAACAAAACAAGGCAAAATCCCCTCAGAGCCAGCAATGGCAGCTCCTCTCCACCCAGCACCTTTCCCCAGCATTATGGTAATTAAGTTAATGTTGATTAGTGCTCTCTGTGGCAGGGCTCAGGCTCCTGGGGTGGGTGGGAGCAGGAACAGAGCAGCCTTGTTGCCCACACTCCTCTCTCCATTCTTCTGCTGCACAAAAGAGCAAATCCGGGGTGGCACAGACCCTCCTTCTGCTCGGGGAGAGATGAACCTTTGTGCGCTCCCATCAGCTGCTGCTTCTCCTCCCCTGCCCATCACTCAGGGGACAGCTCAGGGCAGGGGCCCTGTCACCAGAGCTGCTGTGGCATTCAGTCAGAAATGTCCCCAGAGTTCCCAGATTCCTGCCAAGGTCCCCGTTCTTCTCACTGCTCCTGGTGGGTTCCTTCCAGCTCAGCTGGGATTCTGTTCTCTCCTGGGATTGTGAGGAGCTGCTGTGGATCCTGGAGTCCCACCTGCCCTTTTGGGATCAGCAGAGTGACTCTGCCTCTCCCTGGTGAAGGTTTCCCTGCTCCAGCCAGTTTGGGGCAGGATCAGGAGGAGCTTTTCATAGCACACTTTGGTTTGTGGAGACAGGAAAGGTCTCAGGTTGGGGGGTCCTACTTAAAAAAGCCACTGCTCCCAGCCCTGGGTACTTCCAGGAGGGTTTCTGCCAAGGGTTTCTGCCAAGGGTTTCTGCCAAGGGTTTCTGTCAAGGGTTACTTGGTTCCTATTTCAAAACTCCCTCAGAGGAAGTACAGTCAGGCTGAAACCAGCAATTTCGAGCTGAGGGTGTCAGCAAGAGTCAGGAGTGACAGAGAGGGGTTTGATTTGGTTTGATTTGGTTTCGAGCCTCCTCCCCTTTGATTGCACCCCTCCCATCCTAATGTGCAGGTGCAGAGAGGTGCTGCTGGTGTGACAAAGCGTGCAGGAGGTGTCACCACGCTGTGTCTGTGCTGGATCCGTTCTGGGATGTGCACACACAGAATTCTGACAGCTGCCCTTGCAGCTCAGCCCTGCTCTGATGAAAAAAGCTGAGCAGGAAGGAGGGGAGATGCTCCCCCAGCAAAGATGTCACAGGCTGGGGGTGTCTGGGTGTTCTGGCCAGGGACAGACACAGCCAGCTCTGGTTTGTCCTGTGGAAGGAGCTGCCTTTTCATCCCTCTCCTGGTCCCTGCTGCCATGGGGAGGGTTCTGGTGGCACCAGAAAAAGTCACTGAGCTTTTACTGCTGCTCCAAAGCCGGTGCAGAAGAAAGGAAACACGGCCCAGCCCCTGGTCCAAAACACACAGCCCGAGGTTGTTCTGATGCAGAGGGTGAGGGAATATTTAAAACAAATGTTTAATGTGACACAAAGCAGCAGGGGAGTGAGGTTTGCCCTCCACGTTGTCAAACACAGGCAGGAGAGCTGAGCCACTCCAAGCAGAGAGCAGAGCTTGTTCCCAATCCCCAGAGCAATTCACCCACTTAAAGGCCTGACTCGCTAAAAACATAAAAGGCTCTGTCAATTCCAGCAGTATTTCTCACTTCAATTAATCATCCCAGAAAATGGTGAGTTTGTTGTCTCTTTGTCTCCATTTAGCTTCAGCAAATCCAACTTTCCTCATTGTCTCTCTGCAGATTATGAAAAGCTTTTGTTGATTATATCATCAAATTAAGCCGAGCCTGACAGTGTGATTTTCCTCTCAGAATATCACAGGCTGTGCCTCAGGTGCCACTGCCCTTCCTTCCCTCTTTAAAATGCTTTCCCTGCCTCCCCGTCACGTCTCGCCTTGCTAACAGGAAAGTGTATAAAAATCACATAATCATTAATATTGAAGAATCATTAGGGCTGATAAAAGCAGCGCTGCCTGGCGTTGTTTTTTCATGGGCAGTGCTTTGGCAAACATTGCAGGCCCACATCAAGCCCTGCTGATTTTTAGAGCCCACCAGTTGATGCAGTGACTGACTCCATCCATGGAGATGGCTCCAGTTAGATGAACATTTCCTGAGGGAATAAATGGATTTCTGGAGGCTGTTTCAGCTGCCTTCCCCCTCTCCCACAGCCCCTGCTTTTGATGCAGACAGCATCCCAAAGGCAGCAATCTGGAGTTGAGCAGTAAAGGCCTGCTTGGGTTTTTATTAAAGCAATGATGTGCTGGCTGGCTGAAAAGCGTCAAAACTGCAATCTTGGAGCATCAACAAAATAAGGCAGGATGCTTCCCCGGGGGAGAGGAATGCTGAGAGGAGGAAGGAGCCCCAAGGGGTGGATCTGAGGCTGCAGGAAGATGCACATCAGCCCCTTTGTGAGAGCAGACCAAAGGATGATGGCACACCATCCACCTTTGCCTCCCTCTCCCCTCCGCAGCACAATTCCTCTCTTGAGCAGAGCTGGGATTGAAGTAGCACTGGAGGAATCACAGAAATGCCAAACCCATCTGAGCGTGCAGGGAAAGGCTGGGGGAATTTGGGAGAGCAGCTGAAAGTCTGGGAGTGAGGAGGAGGAACCGACCTGAGCCAAGCAGAAATAAGTCTCAGGAAAACCCCTGGGCACAGCAGTGAGGGAGTCTGTGGAGAGGGAGGTGATGGGCACAGGGAGCTTCTGCTGCAGAAACAAAACCTGAACCTCATCCAAGGATCTCTCCTGGCAGAGATCCCCAAAGGTCTGCCAGGGGTGGGTGGGAATGTGGCTCAGCTGAACAGAGTGTGTGTGGTGCTGCAGAGGCAGCTCAGGCCTGTGAGCCACCCCAGGGCTGGGAAGGTTCCAGACTGGAGCCCTGGATGAGAGGGGAAGGTTCCAGACTGGAGCCCTGGTGCTGGGAAGGTTCCAGACTGGAGCCCTGGTGCTGGGGAAGGTTCCAGACTGGAGCCCTGGTGCTGGGAAGGTTCCAGACTGGAGCCCTGGATGAGAGGGGAAGGTTCCAGACTGGAGCCCTGGTGTTGGGAAGGTTCCAGACTGGAGCCCTGGTGCTGGGATGGTTCCAGACTGGAGCCCCCATGGGGGGTTTGTGTTGTTGGGTTGCCCAGGGCTGGGGTGGCCTCTGCAGAGCTCAGGATGAGTTCACAGCCCTGGCTGCCCCACAGCAGGAGGAGTTTTAGGGGCCCTGAGCAGAAATAACCCCATTTACACAAATGACACTGTTGGTCCAAATTCCTGGCTGTAATTTCCTTCAGCTGAGTGTGTCCCATTGCCATCTGCTGAGGAACAGGCAGTGTGCTCACAGGGATGTGCTGCTGGACAAGGGAAGGTCCCTAAATCACTGGGATCCTGCTCTCAGCCTCCAGGAGAGGCTGGGCTTGTGTCTGTGCTGCTCATGGCATGGAACAGAAAGATTTGTGCCCAAAAAAACCAGCCCTGCCTCAGGACAGCAGGAGCAGCCGTGCCTTGGGTGCTCTTGCACAACACAATTCCTACAGTTCCATTCTCCCACGGGCTGTGCCTGGCAGGGGCTTGGAGAGAGGCTGAGGATGGGTTTGAGCCATGGCTGAGGCTGGAACTGCTGGGCCAGGACTGGAAGCAAGGCCAAGGCTTGCAGCTGTGACCAGGGGCTTCAGGACTGGACCCTGAGCTGTTCCTTTGGGGAGCTCTTCCAGAATTCAGAATTCTTTCAGGCCTTTGAAAACTGAAACTTTGAAAACTCCCATTTTGGGTGGCAGATCCCACCCAGCCACCCCCAGCACGGGCAGCTCTGCCTGGCCCAGCCCCACAGGCTGACTCAGAGCTGTGGCTTCATCCCTCTGCTGTGTTTTTGCCACCCAGGAGGCCTTCGAGGAGCAACTGTGATAGATGCCTTAGATACCCTCTACATCATGGAACTCGAGGAGGAATTCCAAGAAGCCAAGCAGTGGGTGGAGAAGAGCTTTGACTTGAATGTGGTGAGTCAGCTGCTGGGAATGTCTCCCTGTGTCACCTAAACTGCCAGTCCTGATCAGGCTTCCCCAGGAGTCCTCTGAGGAGGGAAACCATGAGCTCTTGGGGGTACAAACCCCTCAGCTGATGATTTTCTTTCCAAGGCCAAAGGTAATGTTGCAGTGATTCACCCCAATTTAATTTTCTGCTGGGGCCACCAGATCAGCCTCACCGTGCCTGGCTGCAAACAAGGATCGGTGTTTTAATGGTTCTGGTGTTTTGGTCTGGGTTTTGGAAACAGACACACATTATTAGACACTCCAAGGAAGTTTTTCCTCATCAAAGAACAAGTTCTGTTTCATCTCAGGTAAATGTCTGCCTGCGATAACACAAGATTTCCTTATTAAATTAAAGTTGTAAACCCAGCTCCCCTTGTCTGGGCCCTGTGTTGGTGTCACTGCTGGCACTTTGTGACACCTCAGCAGCAGAGGGGGAGCACAGAGCGAGCCAGGCTTTGGAAGGAAGGGCATCACCTCTAAAAACAGCCAGAGGTGCTTCTCCCTGGGGCTCCTAGAGCTCTCCTGGACACCTGGGGCTGTGCTGTCCCTCCTCTGGCCCTGGCCATGCTCTGCAGCCAGCTCCTGCATTCCTCATCCCCAACTGATGGGATCTCATCAGTGGCACACACACACAGAATGTTAAACCAAAGTGCAACTCAAACTTTTTTATTTGTTTAATGCCAGTCTAGTTGTTGTGAGGAATGGTTCTCCCACGGGAACAATGCCTGCAGCTGCCTTTACAGAGAAGCATCGTTTGGGAGGGCACCACTGGCATTCATGGATTCATAAAAGGCAGCCCACATCTGATAAATCTGGTGAATGGTCTCAGTCTGTTACTGAATCGATAAACAAGGGACAAAATCAACTGGGAGATAATTTATCTGGATTTCATAAAAGCTTTTAATCTTGGCCTGCAGAATAGATTGATCTGTAAAGACAGGAGTGAATGCTGTGGATTGATCTGTGGAGTCAGGGAGCACAGCAGGCAAGGGGGAAATTAGTTCAATATTGCCTCTGTACAAGGAGCTCTCCTAGTCCAGAGAGGCAAGACAGGGACTGCAAGACCCACCAGCTCTGCTTGAAACTGAGTGATCTGTCTGAAGTTGTGTCAGGGGAAGTTTAGGCTGGATTTTTGGCAAAGGTTTTTTCCCCCAGAGGGTGCTGGGCATGGCCCTGAGGCTGCCAGAGCTCCGGGAGCTCTTGGACAAAGCTGCCAGGGATGCCCAGGGTGGGATTTGGGGGTGTTTGGGCAGGGCAGGGTTGGGCTGGGTGATGCTGGTGGGTTCCTTCCAGCTCAGAGGATTCTGTGTTTGTGTGATGTGTCCTGCTTGACTCGTCACAGGTGATAAATGGGGCAGTCTGGGGGTTTGTCCCTGCAGAGCAAACTGGGAGATGGGCACAGAGTTCTCTCCTCTCCTCTCCTCTCCTCTCCTCTCCTCTCCTCT